TACATAGTATTACAATTATTGTCGTTGATTAATATCAGCATTTTGCAGAATAACGTCAACCGATTGCATGATGTGACGTCGAGTTCGTTTACTACACTTGTTTGTGTGTTTTACCGAGGGTATTCTTGATATTTTAACAGGTAATAAGACGAGGACGTATCGTATATATATATATGTGTGTGTTTTACCAGTGAATCAATGCGAATAATTAGTATTTATCTATAATATTTATACTTATATCTTCATCTCAATTAAGGTGTCAAGTTGATTGTGACATCACTACACCACGGCGACATTTTGTTGTGACGTCTAAAAGCCTTGAAAGAACGTAATCACTGACAGGTTGCAGGGAACCTCCTACAGTTTCGGAGAATGTAATAATTCTATACTCGTTTTCCGTTTAATAACTAAGTTTTACCTCTGTGTGTAATATGTTTACCTGTGTGTAATAGGTTTACCTGTGTGTAATAAGTTTACCTGTGTGTAATATGTTTACCTGTGTGTAATAGGTTTCTTTCATATTTTTTCCCCGCATCGTTAACCTGTCAGAAAAATTCGTCCGTGTCTAACGTTCATCTTGTTTAAAAAAACAATGTTATGTACAATGGGAAATCATGGACCTGCAGTTTGTAGCAGCACTTCCATGTGGACACTAACGCGTTTGTAATAGGTTTACACGACTAACCACCCTGAGTGTAGCATATACTCCGAATATAACAGGGAGTATATGATTCGATTGTGGCGTTCTCTGCAAATTGCTGTACATCGTAGTTTGACGTTCCATTGCTGATAAGCTGTATTAGTTATCTGGGTACTTTTGTTATAAAATACATCTACACATATTACTTGATTACTCGTGAAGCTTATCAAGTCACCGAATGTTTAAATTCCATTCGATGAAATATTCATAAAAACAAGACTTAATGTAGTTGACTATATAACACGGGCTGTGGTTACATGTTAAGCTACTCGATCATGAATTAAAAGAAAGTAACAACACAATTAATTAATTTAACAGATAATAGATTTGGTCTGTCCCGCATACAGTAATTATGTAATAGGAACCGGAATATTTCGATATAAAACGAGACTCCGGGGAAATGTGCTCCCCATTGATTGTTGTTAATTACTTTATACCTCGTAAAATCTGTAGGCCAATTTCAATATACACGCGAGATGACATGCACAGATGATAATCCACTGTTTTGTACACTTTTATTGCCCCTATTCTGCTATTAAGTACTCCTATGTTATCTCAGCTAACTACAATATAGCGAAATAAATATCATGAATAAACAAGTGTGGTAACTAATCACTCCAGTTTTATCTCTACTCACTAATATGAAGATATTGAACTAAATCAATTAACCTCACTACGCAATATATACATTGATCTATTGATACTGATTTTTTATTTCTATTTTTTGTTACTCCGTATAATAGCATCATTGATATATGTTAATGCAAAACTGTATTATATTCTAATCCGATTTTATCTTTATTCGATGTTATAAATATCTGATATCTTAATAGAAAACTTTTTGTCTACAACTCCGATAGTATCTCTACTCAATAAAATATAGACATTGATATCTATTTATACAAAAGTGTTTCGTCTACCTTTCCAATTGTATCTCTACTCAAGTAATATAAACATTGATCTCTGTTATATACAAAAGTGTATAACTTATCAATCAGATTATATCTCTACTCATTTTTACATTCACATTGATCTTTATTTATACAAAAAAATAATATCTTCTGCTCCGGTGCTAGCTGCGCTCGTGGTTATAAAGTCATCAATCGTAATCAAACTACACAGTTTTGTTTTTATAACCCTAGTTATCTGTTTCCTGCTATTTCTGTTAATTTATAAAAAAAAAATCGATCTCTTTACGAGTCATTGTCGCATTTATCATCATGACCTCGTGATCAAACACTCGTTTCATGTCCTTTAATTCAACCCTTAATTAATTAATTTACACATAATTATGTCTTTTTCAGACTTCGTTGAACTCAATCAACATCAATTTAACTTTAAATATGATGACTATGCCTGCGTTTAAAGGTCTTTTAAATTAACAATCTGAGTTTTAACTTCGTTACAAAATGAAGTTGAACGTGATGTCATACCCAGTAATATAGTGGTTACGTGATGTCATACCCAGTAATATAGTGTTGAACATGAGGTCATACCCAGTAATATAGTGGCTACGTGATGTCATACCCAGTAATATAGTGGTTACGTGATGTCATACCCAGTAATATAGTGTTGAACATGAGGTCATACCCAGTTATATAGTGTTTACGTGGTGTCATACCCAATAATGCAATGGTTACGTGATGTCATACCCAATACTGCAATGGTTACGTGATGTCATACCAAGTAATATAGTGGTTACGTGATGTCATACCAAGTAATATAGTGTTGAACGTGAGGTCATACCCAATAATATAATGTTAACGTGGTGTCATACCAAGTAATATAGTGTTTACGTGATGTCATACCCAATAATATAATGTTAACGTGGTGTCATACCAAGTAATATAGTGTTTACGTGATGTCATACACAATAATATAATGTTAACGTGATGTCATACCCAGTAATATAGTGTTTATGTGATGTCATACCCAATCATATAATGTTAACGTGGTGTCATACCAAGTAATATAGTGTTTATGTGATGTCCTACCAGGTAATATAGTCTTTATGTGATGTCATACCCAATAATATAATGTTAACGTGGTGTCATACCAAGTAATATAGTGTTTATGTGATGTCGTACCCAATAATATAATGTTAACGTGATGTCACACCAAGTAATATAGTGTTTATGTGATGTCATACCCAATAATATCATGTTAACGTGATGTCATACCAAGTAATATAGTGTTTATGTGATTTCATACCCAATAATATAATGTTAACGTGATGTCATACCCAGTAATATAGTGTTTATGTGATGTCATACCCAATAATATCATGTTAACGTGATGTCATACCAAGTAATATAGTGTTTATGTGATGTCATACCCAATAATATCATGTTAACGTGATGTCATACCAAGTAATATAGTGTTTATGTGATGTCATACCCAATAATGCAGTGGTTACGTGTTGTCATACCCAATAATGCAGTGGTTACGTGGTGTCATACCCAGTAATAAAGTGTTAAACGTGATGTCTTTTTCAGTAATACAGTGTTTAACGTGATGTCATACCAAGTAAAATAATGTTGAAAATAATGTCGTTTCAAGTTATGTACTATTAATAATATATATTGATTCTGAAGATACTTGAAAGTTAAAGTGATGTCATATTAATTTATGCTTGGTGTTATGGTATACTGACTAATATAATGCTTAGCGTGTTGCAATTCATAGCTGTATAATATATAATGTGAAGTCATAAGATGATATATACTGTTAAATGTTAAGTTATACCCCGTCGTATAACATTTGACGTAATGTCAGAACACTGTACCATTCTCGGCACGTGAGTTAATTGAGTTCACGTGTATTTCTCGAACTAGGAGCTCTGCATCATTAAAAATTGTGGTAAAAAGCCAAAGTACTTAACCTCACACTGACACAAGAATGAACGCCAAACGCACTGCGGCAGACGTTCGCTGGTCAAAAAGGTTTGTAAGTAGCTGTAAACAAAAATTTCTAGAATGTATTGGTTACAATAATTACTGCAGCATTTCCAACCAATTGAAAATGCAGCAAAGTATTAATAACACTTGCTTTAATGCCACGTATGCTAAATGTACTAAAGGATTAATACTAGATTCCTTACTTTACTATTTCTTATTAAATTTCAGAGTCGAATTCTAATCAAGAATTTTTATTTTGAATAATGCATTGAAATTTCGGTTTTCTTGATTTGTGTAAATGACACAGGGCAGAATTTACAATCACAGAAACAACGTGTTTATCAATGTGCTGTAATTGCCTAACGTAGGAGCTATCGTGGGAGGCTATTATTGCGGGAATTTTGAGGTATATCTCTGCAAGAACTTTGATGGGCTATCATTACAAAAATCACTGTTACCCATCATTGTGGGAGCTGTGGAAGTCTTTCATTGTGGTGGTGTGGCCTGTGCACAGCTGAACAGAAACAGCTTAGCTGTATGATGATATCATGTTAATCTTCTCAAAGAAATAATAGCACGGCTCTCACAAGTTGATATTCAGTTAGCGGTGCAACTCATTAAAAATGGACACTTTCAGATTCATCGAAAGTGAAAGATGTAAATCCCAGTCTTAACATTCCAGGCCTAGAACATTTCTCTAGAGGGTAGATAAGTTATTATTGATGTCAATTCCAACAAAGGCAAAAAGCTTAATTACCATCATGGGCACGAAATCTCTTTTCATCCGACCCTTTTGCAATTATATGCGCACACATGCTCAAGCAAAATACTCAAGTACAAACGGAATTTTGTTGGCTCCTGTGCCAGGCTATACAGTACACTAAGGTAACGTTGTAAGTCTGTTAGGAGACCCCCAACGGGACACGTTCTAAGCTTAATTAGGATAGATGATGAAAACGTTCGATTGATAATTTCCAGTACGTTGTATTCACTAGATATTTAACTTTTCTAGCTGTGTAAATGGTTTATGTCATGAAGAGATCCCGATTGATGTCATATAAAAGTTGTTTCATTGTTTGACAATTTTTGTACATTTTAATTTAATTAGTCCCTAGCTATTTATGTACCAAAGCATAGCTGGACCTATTCATGTAACATACTCATTTTACCATGATACCATTGTATAACTAGTAAACTAGTAACAGTGCCTTTGACATTTGCAACTTGAAATACAAACTTAGTTAAGGTATTATCATCCTCAAAATTACTTCATGTTCATTTAAAAAAATACCACTTTTTCCTAGTTAACTTTCTGAAGCGTAGTTTTTTTAATTTAATTGCACCTTTTTTGTAAACTATCCAAAGTTATGTTAAACCCATTAAAAAGATGTTAGTATGCTTACCTTATTATTTCTCACACTGTTCCTGGAGGATATGCCTGACTGTAATTCATCCCCAGAAATGACACAATGTCCGTTATCAAACTTTGTATGATGAGAACTCTGCAGATTGTAATTAAAATGTATTGCCCTTTACAAAATGACGCAAAACCGCACTCAGTGTTTCAGTGTAAGTTTGTCAAATCTGTGGAAGGTCCACTGATGGATAAACATGCGCGCCCTTGTCAAACGAACACTGGTGAAGATGTATGTTATCGCCCTTTATATACCTCTCCATCAATCAATAAACCAATCCTTGCTGCGCCAACACGCACATGGCGGCTCGACCCTAATTCGGCGAACAGAGAGGACAGGTAATGTTTTGTGGAGAGGTTGGATCAACCGATCGCTTGATCTGTCCACAAATTACATAAATTATCCCATTCGAATAGGACAGGCTACATTGAGTGTGGTCTCGATCAAAGCTGACTTCCGTCTACATCCAAGCAGTCAATTGCTGGTGGCAAGGGATGGGTTGAACACCAATGGAGGGCAGAAGGCCTGTTATGTCTGCATTAATGTAACGTTATTGGCCACCCTTAGGTAGAGTCAGACTTCTCAGTCACCATAGTAGCACTATCCGTGCCCAATGGGTTTTGTTTTTATACCTAGAATCGAGTTCTGTAGTGTGACTGGCGCTGATACACTGTAGGGATGTTGTTACCTACACATTGATTGTGCTCTGTATAATAGCCTGTATCTGTTCGCACCATTCTAACGTTTTCATAGCAGAAACAATCCCATATGCTACGAGGGTTAGCCACTATACATTCTACGACAAATTCTTTCATTAATTTGAGAGCATCTAGTCATTCACGTTTTCCAATTCAAGCAGTAATTATTTTGTTTCATATTCCCCCAATGTTATCTACACAGAGAAAACTTGATGCTAGTTAATACTTTATGGAAATTGTTTCCTCATGTTTAAATAAATTCAGTAAAACAAGTACTACATCGCATAAGTACTGTATGGTATGTTTATATAACTGTTAACAATGAAACAAGCTTTGTTAACAGGGAACAAAGATTGACTAGAAGAACCCTGGTTAATGTGCTTGTGCTGTCATCAATATTTATAAGATGGATGTCACATGAACTTTGTCTGCAATTTTATTATACATTATTAAATATAATGTAGAATTACAAGTCGATTTTCGAAAAAAAAGCACATTTATACTTCTTCGCTTTCGGTGTTTTGATTTTAGTCAAGCGATATAATATGGAAAGGTCTTCAATTGAGGGAATAGCCAGAGTGGAATTAATTCAGTATAATAAAGGAATGTATAACAGATGAAAATGAGTAAAAACGGGTAAAGCATTGCGTAAACAATGCATGATATATATAAATCGTCTACATATCAACATCACGTAAACAAGGTATGATATATATAAATCGTCTATATATCAACATCATGTAAACAAGGCATGATATATATAAATCGTCTACATATTAACATTACGTAAACAAGGTATGATATATATAAATCGTCTACATATGAACATTACGTAAACAAGGCATGATAAATATAAATCGTCTACATATCAACATCACGTAAACAAGGTATGATATATATAAATCGTCTACATATGAACATTACGTAAACAAGGCATGATAAATATAAATCGTCTACATATCAACATCACGTAAACAAGGTATGATATATATAAATCGTCTACATATGAACATTACGTAAACAAGGCATGATAAATATAAATCGTCTACATATCAACATCACGTAAACAATGCATGATATATATAAATCGTCTTCATATCATCATCACGTAAACAAGGCATGATATATATAATCGTCTACATATCAACATTACGTAAACAAGGCATGATATATATATCGTCTACATATCAACATCCCGTAAACAAGGCATGATATATATAAATCGGCTACATATCAACATTACGTAAACAAGGCATGCTATATATATCGTCTACATATCAACATCACGTAAACAATGCATGATATATATAAATCGTCTACATGTCAACATCACGTAAACAATGCATGATATATCTATTTCGTCTATATATTAACATTACGTAAACAATGCATGATATATATATATATATATATATAATCGTCTATATATAAACATTACGTAAACAAGGTATGATATATATAAATCGTCTACATATGAACATTACGTAAAGAAGGCATGATATATATAAATCGTCTACATATTAACATTACGTAAACAAGGTATGATATATATAAATCGTCTACATATGAACATTACGAAAACAAGGCATGATATATATAAATCGTCTATATATTAACATTACTACATATCAACATTACGTAAACAAGGCATGATATATATATCGTCTACATATCAACATCCCGTAAACAAGGCATGATATATATAAATCGTCTATATATCAACATTCGTTAACAAGGCATGATATATATAAATCGTCTACATATCAACATCACGTAAACAATGCATGATATATATATATCGTCTATATATTAACATTACGTAAACAATGCATGATATATATATATATATATATATATATATAATCGTCTATATATCAACATTACGTAAACAAGGTATGATATATATAAATCCTCTACATATCAACATTTCGAAAACAATGCATGATATATATATATCGTCTACATATCAACATGACGTAAACAAGGCATGATATATATAAATCGTCTATATATCAACATTACGTAAACAAGGCATGATATATATAATCGTCTACATATCAACATTGCGTAAACAATGCATGATATATATATATATATATATATATAATCGGCTATATATCAACATTACGTAAACAAGGCGTGATATATATAAATCGTCTACATATCAACATTACGTAAACAATACGTGATATATATAAAACGTCTTCATATCATCATCACGTAAACAAGGCATGATATATATAATCGTCTACATATCAACATTACGTAAACAAGGAATGATATATATAAATCGTCTACATATCAACATCAAGTAAACAAAGCATCATATATATAAATCGTCTACATATCAACATCACGTAAACAATGCATGATATATATAAATCGTCTATATATCAACATTAAGTAAACAATGCATGATATATATAAATCGTCTACATATCAACATCACGTAAACAATGCATGATATATATAAATCGTCTACATATCAACATTACGTAAACAAGGCATGATATATATAAATCGTATACATATCAACATTACGTAAACAAGGAATGATATCTATAAATCCTCTACATATCAACATCACGTAAACAATGCATGATATATATATATTGTTTACATATCAACATTACGTAAACAAGGAATGATATATATAAATCGTCTATATATCAACAATACGTAAACAAGGCATGATATATATACTCGTCTACATATCAACATTACGTAAACAAGGCATGATATATATACTCGTCTACATATCAACATTACGTGAACAAGGAATGATATATAAAAATCGTCTATATATCAACATTACGTAAACAATGCATGATATATATATATTGTCTACAATTCAACATTACGTAAACAAGGCATGATATATATAAATCGTCTATATATTAATATTACGTAAACAAGGCATGATATATATAAATCGTCTGCATATCAACATCACGTAAACAATGCATGATATATATAAATCGTCTACATATCTACATCACGTAAACAAGGCATGATATATATAAATCGTCTGCATATCAACATCACGTAAACAAGGCATGATATATATAAATCGTCTACATAGCAACATCAAGTAAACAAGGCATGATATATATAAATCGTCTACATAGCAACATCACGTAAACAAGGCATGATATATATAAATCGTCTGCATATCAACGTCACGTAAACAATGCATGATATATATAAATCGTCTACATATCTACATCACGTAAACAAGGCATGATATATATAAATCGTCTGCATATCAACATCACGTAAACAATGCATGATATATATATAATCGTCTTATATATCAAAATTACGTAAACAAGGGATGATATATATAAATCGTCTACATATCAACATCAAGATAACAAAGCATGATATATATAAATCGTCTACATATCAACATAACGTAAACAAGGCATGATATATATAAATCGTCTATATATTAATATTACGTAAACAAGGCATGATATATATAAATCGTCTATATATCAACATCACGTAAACAAGGCATGATATATATAAATCATCTACATATCAACATCACGAAAACAAGGCATGATTTATATAAATCGTCTACATATCAACATCACGTAAACAAGGCATGATATATATAAATCGTCTACATATCAACATCACGTAAACAATGCATGATATATATTAATCCTCTACATATCAACATCACGTAAACAAGGCATGATAAATATAAATCGTCTTCATATCAATATCACGTAAACAATGCATGATATATATAAATCGTCTACATATCAACATCACGTAAACAAGGCATGACTTATATAAATCGACTACATATCAACATCAAGTAAACAAAGCATCCTATATATAAATCGTCTACATATCAACATCACGTAAACAATGCATGATATATATATAATCGTCTTATATATCAAAATTACGTAAACAAGGGATGATATATATAAATCGTCTACATATCAACATCACGTAAACAAGGCATGATATATATAAATCATCTACATATCAACATCACGTAAACAATGCATGATATATATAAATCGTCTACATATCAACATCAAGTAAACAAGGAATGATATATATAAATCGTCTGTATATCAACATTACGTAAACCAGGTATGATATCTATATATCCTCTACATATCAACATTACGTAAACAATGCATGATATATATATATTGTCTACATATCAACATTACGTAAACAAGGCATCTACATATCAACATCACGTAAACAAGGCATGATATCTATAAATCGTCTACATATCAACATCAAGTAAACAAAGCATCCTATATATAAATCGTCTACAAGGAATGATATATATAAATCATCTGTATATCAACATTACGTAAACCAGGTATGATATCTGTAAACAATGCATGATATATATAAATCGTCTATATATCAACATTACGTAAACAAGGCATCTACATATCAACATCACGTAAACAAGGCATGATATCTATAAATCGTCTACATATCAACATCACGTAAACAAGGAATGATATAAATAAATCGTCTACATATTAACATCACGTAAACAAGGCATGGTGTATATAAATCGTCTACATATCAACATCATGTAAACAAGGCATCATATATATAAATCGTCTACATATCAACATCACGAAAACAAGGCATGATATATATAAATCGTCTACATATCAACATTACGTAAACAAGGCATCATATATATAATCGTCTAAAT